CAAGCACTGCACGCACCCGCCACTCCCCACCCCCACCCCGCCGCACGATTGCCCGCCTCTGACCCCAGCTGTCCCGCCTTTAGCGATTGTTTTTGGCCGGTTTTGACTAATTTCCTCGCCCCCATTAGACCCCCATACCTCCCACCACAACCTCTCCCGAGCCAACTAGCGTCTTCTGACCTACCCTCACCCCCACCTTCTCTCACAACTGACCTTGACTCTCAGGTCCAGACGCCCTGACCCCTCACCCGACCCCACGGACACGCGCCACGGGCCCCCTCCCCAGGACTCCTCCCTTAACGACCCCAGTCCTCTGACCTCTGTGCCCTGGATCCCCAACCACAGCTACTGCAACACCGGGCTCGGCTGACCAGCCCCCTGCCCCCCGCAGGCACCGGCGAGACGCCCACGCTCAGCACGCTGGACTTCTACATGACGCAGCTGCACGGAGCCATCGAGCGGGACCCCGCCCAGCACGAGAAGCTCGTGGTCCGCATCAAGGAGATCCTGGCCCAGGTTGCCAGGTGTGTGCGGGTCTGCCCCTGGCTCAGCGGGGTGGGGTGGGGTGGGGCGGCCCTGGATGGGGGACTGCCGCAGGCTAGGCCCGCCCTGACCGCATTTCCCCGTGGGTGGGATTCTGGAAATCCCAGGGCACTGCCGGGTGGGATCCCGCAGCCGATCCTGTTCTGAGGGTCCCGCCCACCTGGGGTTTACCAGGTGGGACTTATTTGGTGCTGGGGCAGGAGGCCAATGGCGGAACCACGAGCGCAGCGGGACTGTATTAACGCTGCGGGTGGGATCTGCCAGCCCCGCTTGGCCAGGTGGACTCAGGGGAACCAGAACTTCTCCAAAGCTTCTTGGCAATTTATTCTGGGTGTCTTCTGGCTCCCCAGGTTAGATGGGGTCAGCTCCAGGCCCCCTACCCTGACATCTGTTTGGAGCTGCTTAAGGAAGGTGGCCTCTGGTGTCCCCCTAGGATGGTGGTGGGGACTGAGGGGATGGTGTCCCCCATCATGACTCCCCTCCTCTCTCCTGTTGCAGTGAGCACCTATGAAGGTGTTGGTCAGCTCGTGGGGATCCAGCGAAGACCAAGCTCTGCTGGTGGCCCCCACCCCATGGAGGAGGGATGGGGGTCCACCCATTGGGCCAGGCCCAATCCTGCACCTTGGGAGCTCCATTACTCTACATCCCCTAGCTTTCAACCTCCCCAGCACCCCAAATCCAGAAAAGTCACCTGCCATGCACAACACACTTAGAACCCCGTGGCCTCATAGAGCATGTCATACTACAGGGATGTGGGAACACCACACATGGGCAGCATGACCCAGGACACAAGGGGACCAACAGCAGCTCTCCACACTGGTGTAGGGAGGGTGACACAGGCTACAGTGGCTCTAGGGATCTGCCCCAGGACACAGGGCAGTGGAAACCCATACCTGACACAGGGAGGGACTCCCCGAAGGTGCTCACCACAAGTGCCCCACGCAAGCAGGCACACTGCAGGACATGCTCTCATGCTTGGGGGAGAGCCTTCTGCCTGTGGCCCTCGACTTCCTGCACCTCCGAATGGAGTAACTGGGACTGACCCCTGCCCTCGTTCAGCTAACCAACCGTCATGAAGGTGGCCCCTTGGCCACTGCTTAATCTGGACTTTTAAATTAAAAAAAATAATAAAGTGGAATTTGAATTTCAAGCTTGTGAGTGTGTGTTTTTGTAGGAGGTTGAGCCAGATGTGCCCAGGACTCCCCAAGATGCTCCCAGGCCTGTCCCCCCCACCCCCGCCGCCCTCCTCCCGCTGCCCCCTGACAATCAGGAATCCACTTTCTGTCTCTGGATTTGCCTGTTCTGGACGTTTCACCTGGGGCTACACACTCTGACCTTTTGTGTCTGGCTTCTCTCACAGCACCCTTTTCAAGGCCCATTCACATTATAGCAAGTGTCAGTGCCTCACTCCTTTCCTGATTAATATCCCGGTGTGCGGATGGACACACTGTGTTTATTCACTGATGGACATTTGAGCTTGGCCATTGTGAATTGTGCTGCTGTGAACGTCCAGCGTTCATGCACAGGTTTTCATTTGAGTACCTGTTTTCAGGTCTCTTGGGTCCATCACCAGGAGTGGAATTGCTGGGTCATATAGTAATTCTATGCTTAACTTATTGAGGAAACTCTGAGACTTCAGTGTTTAATGGAGTTTTTAAAACATTCTAGCCATAGCTAGTTTGGCTCAGTGGATAGAGCATCGGCCTGCGGACTGAAGGGTCCCGGTTCCTGATTCTGGTCAGGGGCATCAAACCCAGATTGTGGGCTCGATCCCCAGTAGGGGGCGTGCAGGAGGCAGCCAATCAATGATTCTCATCATTGATGTTTCCAGCTCTCCCTTCCTCTCTGAAATCAATAAACAAACAAACAAATAAATAAATAAAAAAAACATTCTAAAACTTTTGGAGACTAATTTGACCAACACCCATGCTACAGATTTAATTATGTCCCCTCAAAAGATATGTCGAAGTCTTTATCCCAGGATCTCAGAATATGACCTTATTTGCAGATATAATTAGTGAAAAGATGAGGTCATCCCAGAGTAGGGTGGGCCTGATCCAGTATGACTGGTGTCCTTATAAGAAGATGAAAATTTAGACACAGACGCAGAGAGGAGACAGCTATGTGATGACAAAGGCAGACATCTGAGCACCGCAAGCTGCTGGGGAATGCCAAGGCCACCACCAGAAGTTCAGAGAGGCAAGGAAGGATCCTACCCCGGGCCTTGGCGCGCTGATGACTTGATTTTGGACTTCTGACCTCCAGAACTGTAAATAAAATAAATCTGTTTTAAGCCACCGGTTTGTGGTACTTTATTATGACAACCCTTGGAGACTGATACAACTGGATATTGTTAACTCCCCCACCCCTACCCCCGCCCCCCGAGGTGTGAGCTCCCTGGCACAGGTATCTTCCATCCCAAATTTGGAGTTGATCACTCCTGGGCAGGTCTTTTACATCCTTTTAGCACATGAATATGTCCTCCTGAAAGAGTACCATTTTGATCGTTTTGGGTTTCTTTTCATTTTGTAAAGGTTTTAGTGTGTACAATTCTGTGGTTTCCAGTGTACTCACAAAGTTGTGCAACCATTGGCACAATCTAATTCCAGAACATTCCATCACTCCAAAAAGAAGCCCAGTGACGCTAAGCAGTCAGCCCCAGTCCCTCTCTCCACGAATCCACTTACTGTCTCTGAATTTGCCTGTTCTGGGCATTTCACATAAATAGAACCGCACACTGTGTGGCCTTTTGTGTCTGGCTTCTCTCAGTGAGCATCATGTGTGCAAGGCTCATCCATGTTGTGGTGTGTGTCATGTTTTGTAGGCTTTAAACATTCACATACATTTTCTTACATCACCCAAAGCCTTTTCCCATCAATGTCTGGATTCTGAGAGTCCTCCGAGGCGGGAGGCCCCTCATTACAGTGGGTACGGCATTCCACCACTGTTCATTGAGCCAAAATAACTGATGCCTAGTGTTGTGTTCCCAGAGGATTCTTACAGAGGCCTCCTGGCGCTGGAGCCTCCTTCTTCATCTGTAACCTGGGGCTCCACTTATTCCCTCATTAAATATTGCCCGAGTGCCTGCTCCCTGTGTGCCTGGCACTGGACCCCCTTCCACAGCAGGGGGACAAGAGACCAGAACCCCGGTCCTGCTGGAGCTGACCTTCCAGTTGGGAGGACAGAACACAAGAAGGATGAGTAAAAATAATCTGGTTTGTCGAGTGATGCTCGGTGCTAGGGAGAAAACCAAAGCTGGGAAGAGAGATGGGAGGAAGTCAGAGGAGGTGACATTTGAGCAAAGAGCTGAAGGAAATGAGGGAAGGAACCATCTGGAGATCTGGGAGAAGAGCTCCTGGGAGGGGCACAGGGCACAGCACTAGCAAAGGCCCTGGGGCAGGACTGTGCCTGGGAGTCGAGGAACAGCTGAAGCCCTGAAGTGATTGAGGAGGAGAGAGTGAGGACAGGGCTGGAATGGGGGCAGGTCGCGCAAGGCCATATGGCTGAGGAACAAAGCCCACTTTTACCTGAAGGAGGTGGGAGCTGGGAGGGTGGTGGGCAGAGGAAGGACGGGATGTGCCTCAGGTTGTACCAAGGGAACCTTACTCCCACCGCTTCGGGCTGTTGCAAGGATGAAGCTCGCTCGCTCGCTCGCAGTGAGCTCCTTTCTTGTGATCCGTGTTTCCCGCTCTACAACCCAGGCCCCGCAGGCCGCCCAGCCTCCCTGGGGAGCGCGCAGCTGGCCCTGGCAGGGCCTGGACACCTGGGGCCGGGCCCCCCTCTCCGCACCCCG